TCCAATACTGATGGTACCGGTCACAATCTAGTTATATGTCCGTCTTGCCGTTCCTCTGAGTGTAGTAAGCTGGTCAGGCCCTCTGGTTACACCCAGGTGCCTCATTCTCTCCAGGCCATAATAATCTTCCATCTCTACTGATTCCGTTGCTTGTTCCCAAAGAGACTTGACCACATCTGCCTTGTCCTGTATCAATTCACCACCCAGTGGTGCAGATCCAGCCAGTCTGTCTGCCTCTTCATTACCCACTACGCCGGCATAGCCTGGAGAAAAGATCAAAAGTGTGCTCACTACCTGTGACCTTCCCAGTGAAAGTGATTTACAGTGAATCGTGTAAATCATCATTTCCCATAGTTAATAATTAGTAGCCCACAAAGAAGAATGCTTAATCACCATTCATAATAGTTTTCAACTATGCGTTTGTTCTGTAAAGCTGATACCAAAAGGGTGTTTTTAACAACCTTAAAGAATACCTCCACTTTCTGCCCATCCGTAAAGACATTGTATGACAGCGCATTTGACCAGCAAGACATTAAAAAAAAAAAACAAGCACCATAACCAATCGCAATTCCAAAGCCACAACACTGGATAAAAAGCAAAATTCGATTGACTCCAGTTTTCGATGTGGAGAACACCAATCAATACTTGCTCACTCATTTCATTACGGCCACCCTGGAGTTTCTCAATCACTAACAATTCCGCGCTTTTCCAATCACTTTCGCCGAACACATGGACACCTCCACAGCGCTGCAGTCTCTTTCTGTTGTTCGTACTAGACTATCACATTCAAAGCCCGTCAGGTTTAGTTAGCATAGCTTCATCTACACAATTTTACTATTCTTATTTTATTTTATATTTTTATTTTATTATATCAGTTATTATTACCATTTATGGTCCATAAGGATATTTATCCCCTTTACTTTTATATATTTTCACTTCATTGTTTTTATGTTATTTATTCCACATTACACTTTTCTCTTCCTATATTTTAAGGTTTTTCATGTGACTTTCTGGGAAATACTAGTTGTTTGAGTACTTTGCCCTTTGTTTGTGTTGTGTAGATCATGCTGAGAGAGGCTCCAGTTTAAATGTCGATTTTGCTGTTGTGTTTACGTTATTTCCCTTCCCTCTTTCGTTGAGCCTTTTAGTCAAAGCTCATTATACACATTTTTTAAGACTATCATGAGCACAATTCATTGACTCCGAAGCATGTTTACTGAGGACTTATATGTTTACATCCAAGAAACGCACATATTGTAAGTACTGTTTTATTGCGTGTGTACGTTTTTACTTAGACTTCATTCACTCACTCACTTTTAGTCACTCGCCTTTTCTGTCTACCCATTTCATTTGCTACCGTCTGCCAAGTTCACACTAGACCGACTATGTTCTCACCATTATTTGAGGGGGCTAGGTGTCCAATCCACTACACTAGAATATCGACTCCCTTATTTTGTAAACAATGCACACTGGCAAAAGACAGGACATTTCTGTCTGTCTGCCTAAGATACATTCTCCAGAACTTGTAAAGATTGTTCAATTAGTAATCCATATTTTGAATACATAAATAGTACATATTTACATAATGACGTGTAATAAGAAGAGTAAAAACGACAGCACATATACTAATAACGATACAAAAAAGAAAGATGGTTTCCTTATAATCAGAAGTTTAAACAACGAAAAACGGTACATACAGGAAACAGCACATAGTCAAATACGCGCTGAGTTATCATTGATAAATTTGCCATGTTCACATGTTATTTTAGCATAACTTCCGAATGTAATACAAAGATATCATGACCGTTTAGCTTTCATGTCTTCTCCTTCTTCTTCTTCCTTTTTACTTCTCCTACTCCTCCTCATCCTCCTTCTTCTTTTCTTCTTCTCTTTCTTCTTGCTTCTTCTCCTTCCTTTTCTTCTTCAACTTCTTTCTTTCTTCCTCTTTCTTTCGTTCCTTCTTTACTTCTTCTTCTTCTTCTGCTGCTGCCGCTTCTTATTCTTATTCTTCTTCGTTTTAGAGATTGGGCTTATTTGCAAGCAGACTGTTGGTGCCTCGCAGGCAGACAGATGCATTTTTTACTTCGAAGAAAACATCCCAAATAAGTCGCCAGTGGGTTTGTTCGTTTTCCCCTACAAAATGGCGCCCTAGAACCCATAATAATGTGAAAATATCTTAGTTCTGTTCTTGTGTGGTACGTTTCCAAAAAATTGTATTTTGCTGTCGTAAGAAATTAGATTTCTAATGATGATGGCTTCACGCAGAGTTGTCACTCACACACGAAATTGCGTTTAGTTGCTCAGTTTACCCAGAGTTACAGAGCAGATCTTGATTTATCAACCTTGAGATGTTTTATAAATGGATGTAAAGGTAAAGCTGCCGTTTTAGATAGCGATTCAAGCGTGTATAAATGTATCTTCCCAACAAGGCTGAGTCGGGAATGCAGAGACTGGCCAGCAGGTGCCACAAAGGTGGAAATTCAGCAATTAATTCAAGATAATGCTCGCTCAGAGGATGTGATCATTTACAGAGACGGTTCAGTTTCAAGAGGCAAAAGAAGTGCTTGGGGCTTCTTAGCAAAAGTTAATGGTCGACGTTTGGTGCAGGAGAGCCTAACATATGATACCACAACATCCAGCTTAAGAATGGAGGTGGAGGCGGTCACTGCAGCTTTCCGCTGGCTAGAGAACACGACATACACACACATCGTGATTGTAACTGATTCAGAAAGCATGGTGAGGAAGTTCAGAACAGATATGCTTCGTGCAGAGTGGCATGCTTCGCTGCGGAGGACACGGGTGAGGAGTATTGTCTGGATTTTTTCACCGGGGCACACCGGTTTGTTGGGAAATGAACAGGCGGACAGACTGACTGGCTCTGCACAACTTGGTGGAATACTGATACATGATAAGGCAGACGTGGCTAGTGCCTTGTGGGAGAGTGTGTACAGTTTGGAGGAACAGATGGATCACCACAGTCTGGTGAGATTAATGCAACGGGGAGTGACGAGAGGTTCTGGCAGATGCTTGAGGGTCAGGGGAAAGGCAAGACGGACGTTTAATCAGAATGCTACTGGCACCATTAGTATCAGAACTTTTCGCTGGCTGCTGAAGATGTGGACGGAGCGCTTATGCGAATGCCCCGAGTGCTGTGATGTCGGTTCTTGAATCAAACCAATCAATCAATCAATCTCCCAAAGATGTTTTATCATTACTGTCCTATTGTGGTACTATTTGTCACTCAGGGATCGCAGTTTATTCCTCCTTTCCGTTTCTGGGAAGTAAAGTGGCCGTTTAGTCATTAAAAATATATGTCTAGCCCTATATTCCCAATACGCCTAAAGGCGAGAAAAGGGAACCTTTTATTATCAGGTGCCTTGCCTACTTGCGTGGGCGATCATGCCTCTCCATAATCTGCGATCTCCTGCAGCAATAATCAGTTTGTGTGCCGACACACCTCCATGCCATGCAACAAGACTGTCAAGCATCTTCTCTCGTTGTCTTCCTCTATCCCTCCTTCCACAGATCTTTCCAGTGGTCAGATGTTCTATTTTCCCTCTTCTCATAACGTGGCCGAAAAATGATGACTGTCTCCTTCTGATGTCTGTGATAAGTTGTCTTCGGGCTCCCGCCTCATTCAAAGCCTCTTGGTTGCTCTTTTTGGCTGTCCAAGGTATTCTAAGCATTCTTCTTTACTTGTTTCAAACATAAATGTTGATTTTTATTGGAGCTAGTGTCACTTTATTCATACACAGGCCAAAATAATAAATCATCCTTCGGAATTACAAGCCACATATTGTAATCAGCTTTTCACATGTACATCAGTCATACAACATAGTTTGTGCGGTTATCTTTCTAATGTAAGTGCATTGAAAATGTATGGTACAGTAATGCGAACTCAATGCGCTTCTTTGGTTGTGTCTGGCTTATTCAGCTGCATAAACATGATCTTCAGGGAGTTCCCATTTTCGTATTCTTGACTTAAAGAACAAATGAGATGGTTTGGCCACCTGACGAGAATGCCCTGATACCAACTGCCACAGAGAGCAACGCTGAAAGAAATATAATGAACACAGAGCAAGGGGAAGACCACGCAAGAGATGGAGCGACATCATTAGGAGCAACATAACAGAAATGAACACCAACTTGTACAATGCTTTGGAAAAAGTGAACAAACTATCATTACATCTTCCCCCAACACCTCGCTGTGGTAAATGGTGAAAGAAAAGAAGAAGAAGAAGAAGAAATATTCCTGACTAATGAAGTAGAGTGCTGCCTAGTAATCCTCTTAATAATAAAGAAGCAGGTATTTTTAAAAGCGTTGCTTCCATCACAGCCCGTCGATTAGAAATTGAGTCACTGACCAGTGAGATCTTACTTGAGTTTTTGCATCTGCAGTTTTTCCAACGTTCTGTTTAGTGTCATTCTAATGCCCAGAAACGGCATAAGCGTCGGGACCCAATGCTAATCCGTGATTCTCTCTCTCTCTCTCTCTCTCTCTCTCTCTCTCTCTCTCTCTCTCTCTCTCTCTCTCTCTCTCTCTCTCTCTCTCTCTCTCTCTCTCTCTCTCTTTCTGCAGACGACCAAGCCACGTATTGAGAATGTAGAATAAAACATGAACTCCTTGGCGACCATCTCTAATGTAAAAACTACACTGGTATAAAACTCCATGCAGTCCGGGAAACGAATGTACAACTTTCTTTCTTTTTTTTTTTTTTTCAACTTGGCCATTGAAATCACCCGTCTCTATACCACAGTATGACTATTCCTGGGTGCCCTAAATATTACTTCTTTGGAGGCTGAACGGAGCATCTGGGATCTACCTTGTCTGCTGCTGTTCAGATAAGGATTTAAAAAAAAAATCCCAAGCAGCATTCGTGAGGGCACAAACCGATCTATCGATCGATCGATAACAGCTCTACTAAGTCTTCAAGCTGGAACAGTCCCTTCACCATCCCACAAACAACACGAGAAGTTCACGTCCCTAGTCTCTCACCGGATCATGACTGAAGAAACAGTTTCGTCTCACTGCCCGACGATGACCTTTCACTGTCAGTACACCTGTTGCCTTTGCTGCTGGGGGAGACGTTCTGCTGTTTACACGTACATTGACAATGATGTGGCAAAACGGCGATCTCTTTCGGAGACTGCACCGCTGCATGGTCATGGTGGTAGCTGTGGAAGTTGTCGTGATGATGGTAGTAACTGCGTCGCCTCAACAAGTACATGGCGAATATAATAAGTCCTAGAAGTACACAGACTCCGGCTACGGGCACGGCAATGTATGTGGGGTTGATAATTTTTGTGGTGGAAGATCTGCGAACTTGAGCCAGGTTGGAACAGTTGGAACCTGTAGACTGTGGCTCGTACATCTGCTGCGGGTGGACTCCTTCCTCTTTATCTGTGTAAGAAAGAGATCAATGGTGAATACAAATGGCATTTTTAACAGACGCAGAATGAAATCAGGCCTTCTTCTTCCTCCGCCTCCTCATCTTTTTCTTCTTCTTTTTCTTCGTCTTCTTCTTCTTCTTTTTATTATTATTATTATTATTATTATTATTATTATTATTATTATTATTATTATTATTATTATTCTGCTACTGCTGCTTTAAACTTTTAAAATGGCTGCTAATTTCAGAGTTAGGCTACGATATCTGCGCCTTTCGATTTAAACAAACCTTAAATTAGTCGCCTTTTACGACATATTTGTTAAGGAGTTTATTTCTTTCTTCCTGGAAGTGGGAAGCTAAATTTAACACGCCTGATTAGAGGTCACAATAATTGGGTATGACAAGTTTTGAGAAAAGTTTAAAAAATAACGATAGTTTATTAAGTGCAAGATACCCAAAATTCCTTTGATGAAACCTAACTTTGCTCGGTTGAATCATAAACATATTTAGACTGCAATGTAAAACACAGGCAATAATGAGCAAGGGAGGAATGTGGACAAAGTTGCCACTGTCGATGTTAAAAAAAGAATACGCAAAGCAAACCCCTCGAAAATTGTTTGAAGTAAAAAAAAAAAATTAAACATAATACTAAATGTGCATCTTATCTGTAGCAGAATACGGATGTGAGTCATGGACTATCTCGCAGTCATTAAAGGAAGAACGTTGGGGGTTTTGAAATTAAATGCTTTAGAAAGGTTCTTAGAATACCAGGCACCACGAAGAAAAGAATTACTGGCGTCTTAAAGATCTGAACATCAAGAAAGACTGGTTAGGAAACATAACCTTGTCTCGAAAACTGAAATAATTTCGCCTTATCAAGCACCATGACTGATTGGAAAGAATAGTAGCAGAAGGCACGGTACAGGGAAAGAGAGGCAGCACTAAAAAAGACAGAAGATCACGACAATTTTTGTAGGAAAAAACACAAGTCGCGAGAGCTGGCGAAAGACTGAGTTTCTTTGAGGCAGACCGTGATAAGAGCGTCGGTCTGCAAAGGACCTGCTACACCAGTGGTTCTCAACCTTCCTAATGCCGCGACACTTTGATACAGTTCCTCTTGACGTGGTGACCCATTAATACAGTTCCTCATGACGTGGTGACCCTTCAATACAGTTCCTCATGACGTGGTGACCCTTCAATACAGTTCCTCATGACGTGGTGACCCTTCAATACAGTTCCTCATGACGTGTTGACCCTTCAATACAGTTCCTCATGACGTGGTGACCCTTTAATACAGTTCCTCATGACGTGGTGACCCTTCAATACAGTTCCTCATGACGTGTTGACCCTTCAATACAGTTCCTCATGACGTAGTGACCCTTTAATACAGTTCCTCATGACGTGGTGACCCTTCAATGCAGTTCCTCATGACGTGGTGACCCTTCAATACAGTTCCTCATGACGTGGTGACCCTTTAATACAGTTCCTCATGACGTGGCGACCCCCAAACAATCAATTGTTCTCCACGCAACTTCATAATTTTAATGAATGTTTGTTTTGCGATGGTCTTTGGCGACCCACGAGAAAGGACCGACTGACCCAAAATGGGGTCGCGACCCATAGGGTGAGAACCGCTGTGCTACATGCCGATGAAGATTAAATGTAGTATATTTCACTTTAATAATATCACATAAATGGTGCAGTACACGCCAGAAACACGGATACGGACTGAAACAATTGACGATAGACTACTGTCAATCAAGTCGACCCCTTGAAAGATGCAATTTTTTTTTTTTTTTATTCGAAACCCTACCCTGGCTTTTCCCGCGGGCCTTGAATATAGCCGGGCCGTAAATATGGCCTAGCCATAGATATGACCTAACGGCTGAAAGGGGTTTCTGGGATCACTCCACAGGTGATTTTAATCCGCATGGTGGCACTTTGTGTCACCGGGTGTTTATCGTTTGTGTGATGTCCTGGTGGGGTACAACTACCAACCAACCAATTGACGATAGACTAGAAGCATTCATTAGCAGGTGACTGTGGAGAATCACAGGTGACTGTGGAGAGTCACAGGTGACTGTGGAGAATCACAGGTGACTGTGGGGAATCACAGGTGACTGTGGGGAATCACAGGTGACTGTGGGGAATCACAGGTGACTGTGGAGAATCACAGGTGACTGTGGAGAGTCACAGGTGACTGTGGAGAATCACAGGTGACTGTGGGGAATCACAGGTGACTGTGGGGAATCACAGGTGACTGTGGGGAATCACAGGTGACTGGGGAATCACAGGTGACTGTGGGGAATCACAGGTGACTGTGGGGAATCACAGGTGACTGTGGGGAATCACAGTCATCAATGTGTGTCAGCAAACCCTTTGTAAAACTCGGTTCTCATCAGCGAATGTCAGATTACGTTTCTGTAGGTCTCTTTTACTCTCACCACCAATCTGTTTCTTAATCGGCCTATTTACTGGTAATAATCCTTAGAATATTTTCTCCAGGTCATGTTGGGAAATGAGCATGCAGATAAACTGACTGGTTCTGCGCCACTGATGTGTGACAAGCTGGATGTTGTGAGGGCATTTTGAGAGCGAGTTAACAGTGCTGAGGAGTTACAAGGGGATCTGGCCGACGCTCGACACTCAGGGTAAAGGCGAGACGGATATACAATCAGACAGTTACTGGTACCATCGGAATTGTACCTCTTCGCTTGCTGCTGAACATGGGGACGGAGCGCTTATGGGGGTGTCCCGAGTGCTTAATTCAACGTTCAACAACATTTACTTGTAGTTTTCTGAAAGAAAAAAAAAGAAAGAAAAGAAAGAAATAAACAGAAGGGATGAAAAATAAAGAAAAAGAAAGAAAGAAAGAAAAAAAGACAGAAAAAAAGAAAGAAAGAAAGAAAGAAAGAAAGAAAGAAAGAAAGAAAGAAAGAAAGAAAGAAAGAAAGAAGAAAGAAAGAAAAAGAAAAAGAAAGAAAGAAAAGAAAAAAGAAGAAAACGAAAGAAAGAAAGAAAGAAAGAAAGAAAGAAAGAAAGAAAGAAAGAAAGAAAGAAAGAAAGAAAGAAAGAAAGAAAGAAAGAAAGAAAGAAAGAAAGAAAGAAAGAAAGAAAGAAAAAAAAAGAAAGAAAGAAAGAAAGAAAGCAAGAAAGGAAGAAGGTAACAACTTAACTCTCACCTGCGGTCGTAGCTGTAGGTATAGAGTATTTATTACACAAATCTTTCTCGTTACAGCAATGGACAGCTGGCCATTCCACATCCACCGCGACCGGTTTTCGGTTCTCACACGCTAAAGGTGCGGGATCGCATCCCCGGTTCAGTCTGTTTTGATAAAGTTCTGTGTAACAAAATTTTGTGGCAGTGCACATAGTTTTGCCTGCTTCCTTGCATTCTACGGTGTTGCATTCGCATCGTATGAACC